CCAATCAACAGTAACTAATACAGGCTCTGTAGGGTACTGTATGTTGGAAATCTTGGCCCATGCTCCCTTAACCTCTTGTGGGTCAAGTTCCAGCTCTGCTGTTAGCCCGGGAAGAGAGGCTAGAGGTGGTGGGGTGTCTATTTTGATAGAATAAATAGGCTCAGAGAGTCAAAGGCATTTACTTGACCCTGTCACTGTGCAACACTAAACAGTCAAACTAGGCTCAGCATTTTTAATACAGAGACCTCAACCTGCCTAGTACCAGGCCAAATACACCATTAAAATCTTTTTAACCTTTTATTAAAGATACAGAAAAAGTCAAAACAGTTAAAGCATTTGAAATGTATGTAATATATTAAGCCTTTCATTTTAACAATACCCCTTGTTCTCTTTCCCTTTGGCTGTAGAGTGTTTGTATAAGGACTCTGCCCACCCCCATTTTTGACCGTCTTTTAGATGGTTTTAAAGATAGTAATAACTTGTCCTTTTGGGGGGAATAGAGAAAATTAGTTGAGAAGGACTGGAGCTACAGTTAGTTTTAAAGTCTGATCCTGTTTCCTTGCAAACAAGACAGATACACACTAAAAGGGAGAGAAAAGAACAGTACAGAGAGAAAATGCAGCTTCTGTCTCTAGTGCTGAATTTTACTTACAGCCCTGCTGCTGGAGAAACACAAGCCCAGTACATGGCACACCACTCTGAGGCCTGGCAAACTTGTACCAGCATCAGGCTTTGCTTTTAGCTGCCTCTCTGGTGGCAGGCTCACAGCACTGTTGCAAAAGTGGCAGTCTTGGCAGGCTAAGAACGACTCTTAGCAAAAGGAAACAGAAGAAATAAGATGTGGGAGGAAAATGATGCATGAGAGAATAGGTGAAAGCCAGAACCAAAGTTTTACACTTCAGGTGGTATTTGGGATTTAGCCAAAGCTAGTGGACGTGGTGATGTCATCTGTGTTCATCTCAAAATCAGGACATTGAAGGGCCAGTGGTGTCCCAAAGGATCCTGAGGTCCCAGGAGATGTGGTGAGTGGAAGCCATGATATGAAGCTTGCTCCCTTTAGTTCACCCATCTCAATCCTCCCCCAAAGTCTTTTTTTTTAAGGACCTCAAAAGTCAAGTAATGAGCGAACTAGCCCATCTTCTCATTGTTCTGCTCACCAATTATGCCTAATTTCTGACACAAGTTTGTCTGTTTGACTTCCAGTCCTACACTTTTTTGTTTACCAGACATATCAACATCGTCCAAACAAAAAGGCCTTCTGCTATAAATCAGCGACTAATTCATCTGTCTTAATTTTTGCTGACTCTTTTAAGCAATTTTATGTAACAGGCTGAGTTGGACTTTCATTATCTTTTCCCGTCAACACTTACTGTTAGAGGTGATTGGATAATTTTATAAACTTTTATCCACTTTTAAGCACACAAGTGGGGTAGGTCTTTCAGGCCCCAGTTATTACAACAGAGGCAGCACATCACATGATAGCAGTGAGGACCCACAGGCACAGCACAGTGGTAAGTTTTTGCCTACAAGCCGGTCTGTTTCCCAGAGAGGAAGCAGCAGGAAATAGACAGAACCTCAACCGCATCATCATGTGTGTGTTTGGTGTTTGGTTTCAGTTGAAAGGAGGCAAGGCTATTCCACGGAGGGAACAGAGCTGCAGAAACAGCTGGAAGCAGAGCTCCAACACATCCGACAGCAAATGCAGCATTACCACGATAGCAAGCAGGAGCTCAAGTACGTATAAAGTCCCCTTTAGCCAGCTTCATTGTGTGCTCTTAATCCAGTGTTGCATTTCTATATGGAAGTGCAGTTCTGCTCTGAAAAGTAACATCCTTATTCAGTAGATCTGTCTCCTAGGCCTGTTCAGTTACATCTGCTGACCTAAGAGAATAAGAGTTGTGGGTTTTTTGTTTACTCCTATTAGACCTGTACTGCCAATACAGCTTGGAGGGAGTTACCTTTTTGTGCATCCTTGGCAATTGTTTACTATCATCTGTGGCAACCACTGAAGGAAGTGTAGCCATACCAGTGTCACTGAGGGCATAATCTGAAATCAGTGAGTTGAATTGGTATAACCGAGTCAGAATGTCATCTTCAGACTCTCCTCCTCATAAAATCAGACTCCTAGTAAAGACCCTGCTTGGCTTTCAGATCCCAGCCTGATTCTGTAGAATAGGCAGTTAGAAAAACATTGATGTGAGTAGTTAGACACAAACCTGTAATCCTAAGTGGGATTGTAGTCACATTTCAGAGTGGAACAGGACTTTAAGGGGGAACCTACTGGTATGGAAAGCAGCAGCAGTGGACCAAGAGTAGGAGAGGAACACCCAACCTTTCTTGTATTCTCCAGGGACCCTTTCTCACCATTTTCCTGCTAACATCCAGAGGCCAAAGACTGGAAAATGGGTCCCTTACATGGCAGTGGTGAAGCCAGTTTTTCCTATGGTGGGTCTGATGGTGCCTAATGTTAAAATAAGTTTCAGGATTATTCTAAAACTGGCTCTTACAACCCAGCTTCCAGCTAATATGCTGTGGCTTGGGTTTCATCCCTAGGTACTTATACCTCCCACCTGGCAGCCAGGCATTGCATGTTTACTGCTAAAAGGCACTGTAAACGCAATCTCCTTTAGAAAAATCTAGAAAGAGCAGACACACTGAACTCCTTCCCATCAATGTTTGCTGGTAGTGAGTGTCCTGGACATCTACAACTATTGATGCAAATGAGTTAAATGCACAATGAGCCTTCCGTGTCTCACCCTAGCTTGCTGTGATCCCATTCAGAACAGGCACCATTTAACCTGTTCCCTCAGGTCATGCCGGCGGCAGGCGCGCATTCTGCACAAGTGGCTAGAAATGAGTACCGTGGAAACTGGGGCAGTGGAGCAAGATGTTGTGCAGCAAGTTCAAGAAGAGCTGGATCAGGTATGTGGACAAGTAGTGGTGTGAAGGCCAGTCCCACACAGTTACTGAGTAAAAATTATGACATATAGTACCACAGAGAGACATGGAACCTGTCCTGAACGCATTTAGTCTAATTTGGATGATTGTGAAACAAAGGCTGAAGGCACGAGGAGGCAGTTGTGGGAGATTAGTAACAGCAGGATGGGTAAACTGTTCCAAGCAAAGGGGCTAGTGAGAAACAGGGCATAATGAACAAAGTCGATTAAACTATTCACATTTTTCTCACCACACCACAGCTGTCCAAGGAGTAACCCAGTCCTGTCACTTGATACTTTCCTATTCAAGTGGGGTAGTGTGAAAGCTGTTCAACCAAACAGTGTCAGAACGCTTACAGACTCAACTTGCTGGAAAGAATGGTTCCTGACTTTACTAATCATTTAGCCCGTTCCTCTTCCCTTCATTTTCTCTTGTAGTTGGAGGTGCAGATCAACGCTCTCACCAAAGTGCTGCTAGAAGGGAGACATTGTCTGCAGAGCTACATCACCCGTGTGGAGGACATTCGCACTGCTTTGGATATGTAACAAGTCTAAAACCTCTGAATGGTTGTTCATGCTCAGTGGTAGAATGGGGTGGCTGGCTGGTCAATCTTTGATGATGTGCTTTTGATGTCAGAGGACATACACCTAACCTACATGATCTCTAACTTTGTGAAGGGAAGTAAACCAAACTGCTCTACCAATTAAATGTATATTTCCTTTTGCTGCATGCATATGGGAGACATTGCCTCATTTATTTACCATAGTTGTGATAAGAAACAGGACACACTGTTGTGCAGCTCAAAGCTGCACTCATCACAGTCCTTAGCTAAGTATGCATAGAGCCCATCACTATAGAATCTATTTAAACTCCCCTGCTTATTAAGAAGCTAAACAATGCCGATAAGACTTTTATTTTAAAATGTTTGAAATTAAGAGTTAATGTTCATAAATCATGCAGTGTGACATACAGAAATACTGTGTTAGTGTTCCAGTTGAAAAATTAAATGGATTCTCTCTGCAGGAGAAAGTTACAGCATTGCCAGTATTCTCCAGAAACCCTGCTTCTACTTCCTCTGATCAGTGGGTAAGACATTCCTGCTAGCCAGCCAAGTTTCCACAGGGCTAAGACCATTACAAAAAGAGCTGACCTGGTGCAGAATGATCTGTCTCTGATACATTCATATTAAAGAGAACAGTAGCAACTTCTCTCATCCCATTAGGCGAACTGGGTGCTCAGATACTGTGACTGTTGAGGAGTGAGGAATTTAAAGCTTAAAGTTGTTTTGGCCACAACTGGCCTCAGTGGAGGAAGAGATTTAGTCTTCCTTCCTCTAACCCACTGCAACAGGCTCTTCTGTTTACAAAGCCTCTAGGACCTGAAGGGTAATTAGTCATAGCTTTAACCCTAAGGGCTGAATGCATTTTGCATCAAGTTTTTAAAAAATTCATGCCTAGCTGGAATAAGAACATTGTGATGCACAATACACAAGTTCTGAACTTCCTAGCACTAAGGGGCTGAATAAAGTGTGTGTGGTGGGGGGGGGGGGGGGGAGGAGGAGTTAAGAGCCATTTTAAGCAGCCCCCATTTACTATGAGGAAATGCTGACTCTTGGAGCCAAAGGATTAGTTCTCTCCTATTTGGCCCTGTCTAGGTCAATGTAATCAAGCTCATACTAAGAACCTTTGGCAGGCTATATTACCAGACACTGAGCATGTCTTTTCTTCCCTACTGCCAAGTTAAGCATATAGGGCTGTACACACTTGATTCTGTTTTCTCCAGCACATCCAGGGGAGACAGACTTTCCTTTACAGGATCAAAGGTAGACAGTGCTCAGTCTCATTTTTAATTCATTCTAAACGTTTGTTTCAGAAGATCCACTTGGAACTGCAGGCAGACCTTTAAAGAAAACACCAGTTCCCCTGATGAATATCCACACACAAGGCTCAAGCTAGGAAAGAGTAGATGATCTCACAGGAAGATGGGAGGGCCAGGTTTGGTGATAAGCTAGTCCATTCCTTCCAGCTCAGGGTGTCCCATTCACGTACAGGCAATAGACTTCCTTGGCTCAAAATAGAATTTATTCAGTAAGAACAAACAATACATTGCAGAAGTGAGTTGCTCAACACTTTTGGCACCAGTTGCTGTTAATCCCATTACTGGTAATGTGAAGCTTAAAACTCCTATTCTTAGTGTCATGTTCCATACATTAATGAAGGCGGTTGTTACTATTTCCATCTAACCCTTCTTGGCATGAATTAACAGAGACTAAAATTGCTGCAGGATGAAGCTAGAGCACTCAGCCCCAGCTATGAGTGCAAAAGAAAAATGGAAGTTTGGCTTTTTTTTTTTGTAAGTTAAACAAATATTTGCAAGTCCACTGAAGGATAGAAAAGCAAGTTAGTGCACATGGGGAGCATCTTGGATTGCCCCAAAGGTCCATAATGGTTTTTAATACACAGTCAGTGCCCATGGCATTTCACTCCGTGCACTAAGTTGTTTTGTACAGGGAGAAATTCCCACATCAAGACCTCAATGTCAGCCCCTGAAGGTTATGACACAACACAATAAGCAGCAGCATCTGTACAGCAGAAGGGGAAACATACTTTGGCTGCATCCCTACTGCAATGGAGAAGGAGTTCTGTATTGATGGAAACTGCCCTATGCAATGAGAAGGGAGCAGACTCTTAACCACTTGTTACTGTTTTATGTCACAAGATTAATCTCTCAGTAGTTTTTGGGTGACTGAGGAGAGTAATTACCACTCAAACAAAAAATCCTTAAGGCCTGGAATGGCAAAAATAAAACTATGGATTGGGAGAAGAATATGCAACAGTCTGACTGCTGCAAGCTAAAAAAATACACTTTTTTCAAAAAGATGACAAGTTCAACCACATGGAATGTAGACACAGTGTTTTCAGGTTTAAAATACAGTGCAAACCCCAGTTTTAAAGGGACAACAACAGGTTAAAAGGCATTTAAAAATTAGTTTCCATACCTGTTATCAGTATGTTATTAAACAGAATTTGAGTCTAATGTACTGGTTTCAGCACTGATGTCATTAATTTACATTGTGCATTTCACCTAGGTTGGACAATGAAAGTAAGACTAGGCAATTTGGCTTCTATACTTTGATGTCATGTTTGCATTAGACACTTCTGAGGACTGCAAGTTTGAAAACCACATTTTACAGAACTGAAACCTTAGGTCTAGGTCAACCTATCAGTGTCCCTTTAAAGGTAGCTAATCTCTCTGCCTTCACCCCTCCCCGATAGGGACCTACAGGCTCTGTATGAATGTAACTAGTTTGCAACACATTGAAGGGGAGAGTGCGAAAGACTGTAGGCACAGGATAGGATAGAAACCACCCTGGTCAACATTCTTAAAGGCATCTGTACCTGATATGTATATGGATCATCTGATTATTTTACTGCTCTCAGCATGGGTATGTGATATAGGGCACATACTCCTACCCCAGTTTTACACAGCAGTGTTGTTGAATATTTTCCTCACCCAGGTCCTGCTGAGTGATATTTTCCATTACTGAACCATTTTTCTTGGAAGTTTGAGTTCCTTTGTATATAAAATCCTCTTGTAGTTTCTAAAGGGACCCCAGAGCCTCTCCAAAGCGGATTTTCTGTCCAGGTTTGAGATGGAAGCTGAAGTTCTTGGGTGCCTCGAAGATCAGAACGATGGTCGAGCCCAGGTTAAACTCCCCTAAATGTTCTCCTTTCCTCATGGGGATGCCCTCCTTGTTATTGTTGGTTATGAAGCTGAAGTCATTGTAAGAGCCTTTGGAGTAACAGGGGCTGTTAGTACGCAAATCCTGCAGAGAGACGAGAGAAAGGAATATGATTTGTGAATTTTAGTATGCGCTGTCCATTTACTAGGATTGACAACTCCCTATGCCTGGGCTACAGTTTCAAATAGTAACATGCAACAGTGCTAAATACCAGGTGGAAGAAAAAATCTGTATAGCAGACACCCCCTTCAGTTCCTGGTCCTAGACTACATTAATCTAATGAACAGTAGTGCCAACTGAGTAATACTTGGTAGAAATCTTCTGTGTTTTAACTTTAGCTTGCTGTTAGTTTTGAGGCAATCAAATAATTAACCAGCTATGCCTTGTTTCCTCACATGAGTTATATAGTACCACTGAGTCATTAGCAAAGTGAGACTTCAAAGGCAGGATTCCTACTCACCCCGTCGAAGTAGATGCGGATGGAGCCAACATTTGTGGCTCCTACCGCTGTTAGGGAGAAAAAGCCATGTTTCCAATCACCACTAAGTACAACCCGCTCATTATGGCAGAAGAGTTCCTTGATCCAGCGGGCAACACCAGGATTCACAGACATCAGGGAGCCTGTAGTAAACAGGAAGAGCAAGATGAAGTATTCTTTGTTCTTGCAGCAGTATTTTGATAGATTTAAGGCACAATAGTTTAGAGACCAACAAAAAAGGCCAGATTAAAGCTCATTTCTAAGAAGTGAGACAAATACTAAGTATTACCAAGAATATGAAGGATCAGAAGATGCACAGAGGTTCTATTGCACTGTGCACAGCAAGTAAAGCCTTCAGCTGGGCATTAGCAAAAATAGAACTGTCACTAAGGGTATGTCTACACTGCAGCTGGGAGTGTGCTTTCTAGCCCCGCTTCCAGCTCCACTGTAGATATACTAGGTGGGGAGCAGATAACACATGAGTGTTCTTTAGCTCATAGAGCTGCTCTATCATCCAGCATGTCCGAGGTCCTGCCACATCCCCTAGAAACAACAGGAGCTGAATGAAGGGAAAATATTTATGCCAGAAACTAAGGCATATTAACACCCCTCCACAAATGATGTATCAACCTAGTTAATTTTTGCCCTGGGCTCAGACCACAGTATTTCACCCTAATGCCATCTCTCAGAGTTCACAGCATCACCATTACATGCCCTGAAAACATTGCTATCACCAAACAGGCAAGGAGGAGGAACCCAGCTACCTAATGAACTCAAAACAGAATAAGCCTCTTTCTGAGCCTGGATTACTGAGCGCTCCACAGGAGCTGACTAAAATCTGACTACACATAACGGCTCTACCGCTAAAGTCTAAGGACACAGACAAAAGTCTTTATATCTAAGGGATGAGCTCATTGGGCTGCCTTGCCAAAGCTATAGGGGAAAAAAACCAAAACCACCCCAGCCAACCCCGCCAGTCTCTCAAATGCCCTTTGCAATGTGTGAAGAAGTGGTTCTGTAGCACTGCAGATCTGAGTCACCATAGCTGGCCAGATGTGAACATGAAGGATTAATAAATGGATCTACAAAAAGAACAGGAGTACTTGTGGCACCTTAGAGACTAACAAATTTATTAGAGCATAAGCTTTCGTGGACTACAGCCCACTTCTTCGGGATCCCGAAAGAAAATGAATCACAATAGGAACCTTAAAGGTTTCCACCCTGTCACACAATATAGGGGAGCACACAGTGCATTAGAATGTTTCATTAGAGCCTGTACTCCTATGCACATTGCTCTATTACAATGGATCTCCTGGCAGCATTTCCCTAAGAAACCCCTGGCTTAAAGGGTTTACTCAGCCACAAACCTTAGCTTCACGCTGAAGCTTGGCAGATCAACTTTCTTGCCATGTCTTGTCTCTCTCTCACACATAGCATCTGAAACCGAAACCAAGTCCAACTCCTCTCTTTGTTCCTAGGTAATTAAAAAAATGAATTTCCATCTGCTGGACTAAGGAGCATGACTGTCTGCGAAGGAGAGGGCAAAACTCCATAACCCCAATTCAAATCAAGTGATTGTGCTTAGTGTCATCCTCTGAGTCTCTGATGTGCAGGGTTATCCACAACAATCAGATGCCCCTCTAGGGCATCCTCTCTTTTACCAGCAACAGGGCAGTTTACTGTGGTGGGTGGGGAATGCCCTTGTTCCCTCTCAAGATGCTGACTGGCATTCTTCAAGCTCTTAACAGCCATTTCAGTAAAGTCTGCTGGAAACAGATCTGGGTCTCCCTACACCTCTGTGTTTAGTTGGGAGACCAAGTTATTCATCTTCAACATTGATTATTTGAGTTAAATTGGTAGACTACTAAGCCCTGAAATTCATTAGCACAGTATTCAGGATTTTGGGGAAGCATGATCCTCGGTGTGTTTTTTATGACAAACTGCTGCCCTCTGATTCTCTAGCACATCACAATTCAAGTGCTCTGACTGAGGCATCTCTCAGTAACCCCCCTGCTTTGACACCTGCTCTGTTTCCCCTTCTTATTTATGGAAGTAGAATCTACCTGGGAAGTGGCGTCTGTGCGACACTCTCCAGTCGGTGGGTGAGTGGAAGCAGTGATAGTCCCCAGGCGCCAGGTAGATGACACAGTGATAGAGCTCGTTCCCCTCCTTTGTGACTAGCTGGTTCTGCAATGAGCTGCAGGATGAGGCTGCAGTGGAACAGCAGAAGACAAAAGGGTTAAAAGGAACAAACAGAATCTGTGAGAGAACGTGTCGTGTGACAAGTCTCCAACGGGAAACATGCCACTGTGATGCTCAGAAAACCAATGTTAACAGCAGGTCACTAAATACAGCCCACACAGTGACTCCGGGGGCAGTCACTGGCAAGGGAGCTTACACGGATGAATCCGCAACAGAATTCCAAATATGTCATCACCCTCAGTGAACACATTGGTGGGGACCATGCAAATCCCTTTCAGGGTATGTCGTAAGGAGAGGAGTCAGCCTTAGAATTAATTCCTTGGTGTCCAGTGCTGAGCATGCTCTCAGGCCGCACCTTCTGCCACTATAAACCAACCATCCTCTCACTTGTGTTAACAACCACCCTTAGGTTATTAAAACAGGGAGAATTACAGAAATCCAATGTACTTCTCACTACTGATGCTGTTCACTTTTCCACTTCCCTCAGCTTGGACAGTGAAATCAGACTTGTCAGTGTTTGGGTTGTGTACATGCTGCAGGGGAAGGCTTCTGGCAAATGTTGTAAATTTGATTTTATAAAAAAAATCTACATTTTACACCAAGCTGAGTTGACAGGTTCCTTAACCCCTAAGATTTCATGTAAACTGGAGGCCGATATTTGGATCATAGAGGGGGATACAGAGCATGCAGTGGGAGGGATTTGCCTGGTCAATTTGTCCTTTGCCTGCTCCCTGTTACTTCGGGGACAATTCAAGCTGACGGCGTGTCCCTCTTCAAAGCCCACTGTGGCTACAGGAAGCTTTGAAAGGTAGTGCTTCAAGGCCAAGAATCAGCATTTTAAAAAGCTTGTGTCCCTTTAACACACAGCTAGGTTTTAAACATCTTTGAAGTCCAAGCCCAGAAGAATCCAAAGAACTTTAAAGAGCCCCAGCTTCCCCAGACAAAGCAGCAGGGGCTTGAGACGGAGTCTCATAGAACACAAATAATTTGTCTTAAAAGACACCTCAGAACTATTGGGGTGCTGACCGAAGTTGCGGTAATGTCCCAGCTTACAAAATGCTTTAATTGCATTTGCATATACATTGCAAAAACAATCCTGCAGCTTTCAAAAAGCGCTTCTTTCTGTGGCGTATTGCCCATACACAGGTTTAACAAAAGATCTTCACACCCAAACCAAGAGCCTTGAAGACAGTGCTCTATCTCCACAGAGCAATACAAACTTCCTCACAGTGCCTCAGCCCTGACCTGAAAGGCAGACCTCTAGGCATGAGAGCAGAGATCAGTCTCCATGCGGGAGTGTGGGGGGGGTTGCTGCTGCGGCTGCATAAATTGGGTCTAATAGAGTAGTTCCTACAGCCAAACATCTGGGCACGTTTCAGCCTCCAGCAGGAGCAGCCTCATTATGGTCACAGACCTTGACATTACCCAGAATCCACCCAAGATAACCATGCACTTGAGGGAACTGAAAAGTTCAAATGTAGAGGAAAGGGCTGAATCAGAGGCTGAGGCTGCAAGAGAGGGACAGGCTACTAAGGAGATTGGGGAATCCAACATTACACCCCACGTTATTCCTCAGTTTGAGCTATAATGAAGCTGAGTTGCCTGTGCTGATGGCAAAGATTTGAGAGCAGATAACTATGATTCACCCCCTCCCTGCAATTACTGGGAACAGTGAAATGACAGAAACAGGCTAGGAGGCAACTTACTTTGGCTAAACTGCATGTCTTCCGTGCTGGTGCACGGCCCCAGGAAGGACTCCAGCGAGTAGGTGACACCCTTCACCTGTTCCACTTCGCAGTTTTTCACTTGTCCAAAGTTCAGAATCTTTCCATCTGAGGGACTGATCTACAGGGAACAAAAAAAGTAAAATGCAGTGAAAAATCCATGCATCCCTCACGCTTAGCCATCAGAAACACAAGTCCACTGATCATTTGAACCCCAAAATTTCACATCTCTTCCCCTTTATATAACCTCTCTCCCCCACACAGGGATAAGCCTAGCCTCTTTTTGTTTCGGACCTTTGATATTTTCATAGACCAGAAAGGCAAATAGGAAGGCCCATAAATGAGATCCAGAAAAACCATCATTTGTTCACAGTGAATGCCAATGCTGTGACCACTAAAGGGACTTACAGGTTTCTCTTTCAATGAGAGTGCCTGGTCTAGTCCTGTGCCTCGAATAAGTCAGGCTGGACTTTTACCCACTCCAACCAAGTAGTTCAGTTAGGGCCATGATCTGTTGCCATACAGCCAGGCTGGATATGGGTGTAACCAAGAGCAACAACCCAGACAGAAAAGGGGTGAGTGATAGACCCACAACTCCACTCAGGCCAGCCCAATATTCGGAGTTTTGGCCTACAGACATAGCACACATTCCAAGGTGAGGGATGGGGACATTTACACATCAATGTGTAGCTCCACTAGAACAGAATAAACATTGCAAACCCCTCGTTCCCTCCTCACCACACTGTGATAGCAGCAGACTGGCCGGGACTGGGGCTTCAGCTTCCTGCGGAAGAACTCGCTGAGGTTTCTATAGTGATGAAGATCTTCGACAGCTGCTTCCTTCATGTTCACTCCAAATGTCCAGATATACAGGCTGTAGACAGGCTTCCGGAGCCAGGTGGGCAGCTCGACCTGGTTCAATCGACCCCAGGCTCGTGAAAGCAGTCGTGTTGGTACCGATTTGTACAGAGAAACCTAGAGAGAAAGGAATTACACCATGCTATTTCTGTTCTTTCCACTGCTCAGCCCTTCTTCCCTTCGCTCCCAAAATGGAAGAATCCAATTCATTCCTACTGTGACTCCCTTCACTTCAGTGGAGTTACACCAAGGTTCTGGTCTTGTCAATAAAACAAGACCAGAACCTTACCCTCCATGGCCCCATGCTGATGTGTAGGGATGGGGGACCAGATGGAGCTCAATGTAAACCCTTACAACAAAAGTAAAGTCAATTAATTTGGATGATTCATCTTTTCTGAGAAAGATAAAAAATCCATTTTGTCAGTATAATTTCTGTTGCTGTTTTTGTTGCCTTAAGGCAAATAATAAAAGCACAAACCCATTCTTCCAATCGCAGCACAGAAGCCCTGCCAGCCAGGTACAGTGGAGGGCAGCTACAATGCATGCACCCTCTTCCCCTTGTATGCTGAAGCTTCATATGCGAGCTATGGAAACTGCTCCCAGGAGGCTCACAGAGAAGCAGTGCATTTGGGACAGTCTATTATAGCACTAATTGGAGGCACTGAAACATTACTAATATATTTATTTTTTTGAACCCAAAGAAAACTGACTTAGAAATACATTTCTGTCTGCATTTCAATGCCTAGTGTGTTGCTTCTCCCAAGCCCATCTATTTCTGGAATTATAAAGTGCCTTGTCTACACATAAAAGGTGCACTGCTTTTAACTGTACTGGTATAATTAAAGCAATACAACTCCTCTGGTGTGGACACAGTTACACTGTGCTTATACCTGTGTCACTTACCATAAAGACGAATAAACTATATCCATATATTGCACCTTTCTACTAGCATAACTGTGCCCGCACGAGGGCTTATACCAGTGTAACTATAGTGGTCAAAGAAACAAACAACAAAATCACACCGCAAATGATAGTTTTATCATCAGTACAAAAACTGCGTGTACACCAAGCCTTAGTGTTTGGGCAATTCCAAAAAATTCACTCACCTGTTGTTTGTGGTACTTGGTATCACCCACACAGCTCATGAGAGCATGTTGTAATCCCAAAGATATTTCAGAGGGCTCCAGCCTTCCTCTAAGTTTTACACAGGAAGCTGTTTTCTGCAAACCTCTGGTAAAAGTTTGCAGAACAGGGTGGCTGGCTAATTCCAACTCTGTGAGTAAAAGGGTTCTCTCATTCCTTTCATTAGAGAAAGAGGCACTATTTATTCTCTACTCTATGGGTATCCCTCAATGTTAGGACCTGCAGAATGTAGCAATAAATACGAATAGATTCCTCTGGAGAGCTAGTCCTTTAGCCTGTTTGTTCTATTAAGCAAATTTATTTCACCTGCTAATGGATGATACTCCACTCAACTCACCTTCACTCAGACCAGTCCAGGATTCTGAGTTTTGACTGTGCTATGGATGACGCTTACAAATAAAATCCAACCATTTGAGAGAGATTGCCAGCTTAATCTTACTTCAGACTGAAACGTTTTAAACCAACTATTGTTACAGGTAACACTTTAGACCATGACAATAGAAGGATGAGAGAGAAATATTGCTCTGTTTTTTCTTTACACTTTACACATTTGACAGGCCTTGGACAGAGTCAGTTTCATGGTATCCCTGTAGAAACAGTTTCACCTATTTGTGTAGTTTTCCCATAGTTACAGAAGAGATTAATAAATAAATAAATAAATAAATAAATAAATAAAGAGAAAATGTAATTGCAAAACCGCAAAAATTGGCAAGACATCGCCTGAAACTACATACTTCACTTTTGCAAGTGATGGGGTTTCAAGTTGATAGTCTCTGTTTAATGCAATAGCTGTTGAAATGGCATCCTCTCAAGAGCGGGCACATTTGTATAAGTTTGCAGTAACAATGTCTAGATGATGTTTGCACACTGCAATCAGATGCGTGCAGGTCCATGTACTAAAACTAAATTTCATAGTTTGAGTCAGGGATGCCTGCATTAGTACATCCTCTGGGCAGTCAGGATTCCAGGCACCCAAGAAGGAATTGAACAGCCAACCATTCTCACACAAAAATTGCAGCAAAGGAGAGACTACATGAATGTGTCCATGAAAAGGGATGGAGAAGAGGCTTGGTCTGCCTTAGCCCTAGCCCTGATATTTGTGGGTATTACTGTCTGAATGAATGCAGCTGTTTCCATTGATTCCCCTTGTTTGTTAGGGGATCATACACAAATTCTATGCTCCTAAAAATTCATCATCTGTCTCTGAAAGGAGAATTACATAATCCCTAAAGCTTCACCACGAAGAAAAAAACCAGACAGTTGTGGTAGAGGAAGGTATGCACTGCAGTTCTGCTTTAATATCAGCCATCAGCACCATGCTGTCTGTCTCTCCCCCTGCTGCCAGCCTCCCTCCATTATAACAGAACATTTGCTCACAGGGTTGTTATAAGGTAGAGACCTGCTCACACTTACCCTGCTCACAGGCCTCCATCCCACTCTGGTCAAGGGTTTAAGAGCACCGAAAGGCAGAAGATAATAGAGAATAGTCAGAGGCCAAGAACGGAGTTTCAGAGCAGGCCTAGACATACAGCTCAGCTGGCCCAACCTCCGCCTCAGGGCCAGCTGGGGGAATTGCAACCTGTAGGATCACACACACACACAAGAGGGTCAGCCAACTCAGCCTCAGAAACACCAGCTCCTGACAGAGTTTGTTCAATACTTGTCAGTGATTCTGCAACTCCCTGCTCCGTGACTTTGGTTCAAACCTGGACCTTTCCCAAAATACAGGACCAGGCCACTTCAAAAATGAATATGAGCTGCCCAGGGCCTGGGGTTCATCGGCACAGGACAACTTCCATTACTCATGCCTACTGGCAAATTAATTAATGGCAAAACTTTTTGCATTAAACAAAGTCTGAGATAAGGTGAAAACAAGGCTGCAACTGGTCCAGCCAGTTAACACTAGAACATACACAATATGTTATGGAACACCAAAAGGGGGAAAACCCAGGAACTTATTCTTTTGGTGTTTGAAAGAAGTAGCTACTTGAGAGGAAACATTTGCCTGTACCCTCTCCTGCTCTTGGAGAGTTAGAGTGATCAGCACAGTAAAGCACTCTGAAAGCTAGAATTCTAGGAATAAAATCCCTATTTAGGGCAAAAGTGTTAGGCAAGTGCTAAGGAAAGAACAGATGATATTCCAGTGAAACAAACAGCCACAAACCCAGGGCAATGTTGTCTCTGGCTCCAGGATTTCAACAAGGTCTGGCATTATGGGAATCCTGCATTTCAAAAGTTCCATCTACAGTGCTGTTCCTACATGCAACAGTAGGATGAAACTGACCTAATCCTAGGCTCTCATTCTGTTGGGGGAGAGACAGCTGCAGTACCATAAGCACAATGTGCTGCTGCTAAGGGAAAGGGAAGGGTATATATTTGCTTCTCTCTCCTGCCTGTCTTTGGCAGCAGCAGCAGCAGCAAGAGGGAATCACGCCTGTACCTCCTGGTCTCTTCAGGTGAGCCCCAGAAACAGGCAGAAGCGGTCAACATCAGATAGTACCCAGCTGGCCGTCCCCTGTCTGTATTGTGTCTGTCCTACAAAGGATCACAAAAGCCATTGGGGACAAACTGAAGTACTCCTGCGGCAGGCCTGCTAGCAGTTGGTTCCATCTGGCCAGCTATTTAACACTTCAGTGACAAACAGAAGTGGGATTTGTGAGTTAGCTATTTGGGCAGTGTGCACTGAGGTCAAAAGGCACCTTTCAGGTTTTACATTCCTTATTGGGCACCTCAATCTTAGAGAGATGATACAAGAACTAAAACACACAAACTGCTAGGGTAGCAGGGAAGTTACTATCTATGGCCCATTCAAACTTTGGCCTCTTAAGCAACTGTGTTTAGGTGGGTTTTTTGTGAAGTAGATGCCTGAATTGAGAACAAACGAACAAACTCATTTCACATAAAGAGCCATCAGGTGGCTGACAGACTATGACTTGTGGTCATTACCAGCCTGAGCCAGAACTGAACCAGTGACTCAGCATGGAAAAGCTCCACACCCCATTCCTGTTTCCATGAGACATCTCATTGCTCCAGTTTATGCTGTTTGAGTCTTCCCTGGGCAAACTCTCTTATTCCTTTCTTCCCTTGGTGTCTCCCCAGGGTACCTCATGCTTAGCCTCATTCTCAATACTTCCTGTGTCTCATAATTAGGTTAATATCCACCCGACTCAGGACAAAACATCCAGGCCTGTTTGGCACTGTGCTAACTGCTGGGGAACAATTCTTCTCCCTGCATCTTTGGAGGGGACATAGTGTGCTGAGCATGATTGTATGTGCATGCTGATTGGAAGGGGAAGGCTCCTGCTACAAGTTATTTTGAAGATCACTCCCATCCCTTGCAGGATGAAAAGATTTGAAGAGTGAGCTGTAGTAACACACTCTACAGTTCTCTCCAAGAGAGAAAGGAGCTGGGAGACTAGAAAGGGCCAACTTGCCCTTTTCAGGACTTGGGTCAAAAATTAAAACATCACCTGAGACGCTGCTACTGTCACCATGTGGGCTGAAGATGGTGCCTTTGGCTCACCGATTTACTCTGTAGGCTAACGTTACTTCCGCCAAGGCCAGAGAATGGCTGTGCGCTGGAGTGCAAGAAAGGCCTGAGTAGCTGAAGTATTGTCTCAGCAGCGCTACAGCAGGCCTCAACAGCTTGAGGCAAGACCAGTGCACAGCACAGGAATAAGAGACAACTCACCTGCAGCTCCTCCTCCCTCTCATCTGCCAGGGCCCAAGAGCCTGACAGAGAGATGGCCTCTCCAAGACTTTCGGAGGACAAGGTACTGCTCTTCCCTCCCATCTCCTTCTCCCTCCCTTCACTGCAGACGATCATGAACCAATCCCTGCAGAGCTGCATCCTGGCAGCTTGCTCTAAAACCCCCTTCCTTCCCACCGTCTTGGCCTGGTTTTAGAGGATTCCCTCTCTAGATTTTTTGCTCTCCCATTGATTAGAAGGGGACCAGAAGAGAAAGGAAACCTCATCATTTCTCTTGTTGTACAGCAGCAACCCCATCCTTGCCAATTCAGCGCATTCGGAGATTTATAGTAATTAGGCCAAACAAAGGCTTTGCAGATGGTGGTCACTCCTTCTGCCCATCTACCCTCCCTTCAGTCGCCATCCTGCAAAGCAGAAAACACCAAACAGTACCTGAAACGGGCTCTCCTATTTGGTGTGCCCCCGGCAGAGCCAGCTGGGCCTGGACTCTCCAGTTGCGGGTGCTGCTCCCCGGCACAGCTGCCGCTGTTCCCTGAACGTAGCCGTCGGACATGAATTTTAACTTTGCGGAGGTTGTAGCAAGAGGGAGGAGGGTTAGATAAAGCTTTACAGCATCTCACCATTTCCCTGTGTGCAGATCTGGTCCCTGCAGGGTGTTTGACTGACACATCATCAGGATGGCGGTCGGTCGTAAGTCTCAGTCTCTCTCTTTTTTCCTCTACCTCCCCTTCCCTTGCTCGCTTCGGCACAGGAGGGAGGACACGACGTCACAGCTCCTAATTCCCCCGCTGGTTTGTCTCCGGCTTCCCTCTCTGTCTTTCCCACTTGCAACTCGGCTACGAGGTTCCCAGCTATTGCAAACAAACAGGCATTGTGTCACACTTCAGCAACCCTCTGCAAAAGCAGCTTTGTGCAAGACAAAAGCAACCTCTGCCTACAAGCAGCCCCTGCTCCTCTCTAGCCAAGGTTGCCATCGAAGCTCAACTCCCAAATGAACACCCTGCAGTCTCAGGCTGCTAGGAACTAATGCACTATTATCAGAATTGCAGCCGGCTGGCCATGCACAGTTATCCCAAGAGCCAGCCTGAATGCGAGGCTGGGAGGAGGAGGAGGGATGGCGGAGAAGAGGAGGAGGGAGATAACTCATAGCTTCAATTCTGCACTGCAGTAACTGCAGCTAGATCAGTTCTGGGCTACTGAGCAAGCAGATGTGTATGCAAACACTCACTCTGCCAGAAAACCCTTTCCTTCTCACACCATCCAGTCTGGGAACAGAGGAGAGGAAAGGGAGGGAACATCTTTTCTATCTCATACAGTCCAGTTAGAGACCAACACCCATCTCAGGAACACCCTTTCCATCCCACACTGTCCAGCGAGGGAGAAGGCAAAGACAGAAAAAGGGAAAGAACGTTCCTTTATAGATATACATCCCTGCAATGAAACAAAAGTTCCAGCGCCAGCTTGAGAAACAGGCTCTGCAGAAGTTCAATAGATGCTTTATACAGTGCGCAGTACTTCAACAATTTTTACATCCAGCAGAACTCAGAAGCCAAACCGCCAGTACCATGGGGGCAAGAGGGATTTTTGCAGTCTTGAAGACTGCATGCCCATTTTGTCTGGCACAGCTTTCGGAATTTTCATAGGGTGAGAAGTCCTCTTCCATATTGCAAATTATATCTGAAAGCTGTTGACTAAAAACTGGCATTCCTGTGTTTCTTGGCTGCCCCTGGATTGCTAATGAGGGAAACTGGCAGCAACAGGAACCCAGAGGCAGAGATCAGAACTGAGCTTACACCTGACTTCTGTGTCAAGTCCAACACCAGAAATATTTTATGGTTCAATATTTAAGCAAAATGGTTAAACACTAATGTTTTAAGTCAAAACTAAGCTAGACAGCAGTTTAGTATCTCCAAAGCATGCCCACCCTACTAGTGCCACAAGTGATGTGGAGTGAGTCAGTAAGGACTTTGCTGCATTAACCCAAGGTTGGTTAGGAGGTTATATATTATGCTGAGGGGGAAAAAGAGAAAATGGGAGGGAGGGGCAACATTTGGAACCACATTTAGTGCCAGCCCGAGAGAATCTTTCAGGAGGAAATTCATTTAATAGAAACATATTGGAGACAAATTCTTTATCACAGATCTGTTACAAGATTCAGGTATAGACTGATTTTTTGCAACTGTATATTAAAGGGACACTAGTAAATTACAATCTTATTAGCTTTTGTGGTTTTATAATCATGCTGTCCTATGTTTTACAATGCTTCTCTCTCTCTTCTGCTGCTATGTGAAATACCCAGATGAAAAGGGGAAACTGACTATATACAGGGAAAGTGTCAAAATTCACAAAGAAAAATCTGGAAAAATAGCCGAAACCTTTCCTCTCTGTCACAGACAGGAATATTAGGAGTTGCTAGCAATAACAAAAGGTGCAAATTTTCAACAGAAGTGTGATTTAAATCAACAGTGTCCCTTTAAAAACACTTAATCAGACCAAAGTGGAAATCATTTTCACCACCAAGATCACAAGAAATGCTCAGCATGCATGTAAGTTCCAGAATCTGTGACAAGGGAAAAAATACAGTACTGGTACAGAAAGGCCAGGAGACGAACACTGCTGTCTAACAAACTTTTTCTCCTCCTCCTCACATTCCAGACATGCAGGGGCTCCTACACACAAGGAGCCTGCACAGGGTTTTCCTCTTTGTTGTGATTTTCATCTTGTTCTCCAAAGGACCCCACCCCCACTTCACATTTACCATGGATGAGGGAAAGGCCAGAGCAAACAAATTTCATCTGCACTCACCATTTAGTCCACTCTTCCTTCAAAAGTATGTGAGGTAAATACACATTTCAGCACAGTCTATTTCAATGGAAACAGCCCATTTAGCTCTCTCCTTTCAAAGAACTTACCACATCCTAGATCAAGGCGGCGGGGGTTTATTTCCCCAAGATTTTACAAAGGAGTGGAGTGAATTGAACAGCCAACCTGCACCCCAGAAGTGAATGAACATTGAAAATATAATTCCATTGTTTAATGTTGATACTACTGTACATTCAGATAAAGTTCATGGAAAGGGAACATGTGGTGAGGGCTACCCCCTTTGGTGCAAAAACCATGTCATGACAGACTCACCTTCCTAGGTGAAGTTCCCAGGGAGAGAGATGGATTTCAGTGCTATATAAAGCCATACTTCTCCATGGCTACACAAAACTGACCTCCTCTAAGTAAGAAGCCTTACATTTCTCTTATCTTCCGTCCTACTGACCCCATTACACTCACCAAGACGCAAATACCGGACTATTACCCATGGATGAGAGCCTGCCCCTCCTCTTGGCTGAGACCTGGTGAAATACTGACATACAAACATACATGGCGAGTTGCCATGCCAGCAGCTACTGCACAGGAGGGATTAAGGATACAGTAGGGTTTGGCTGCTCAGAATTTAAAGATGCCTGCAATGGAAGAAAGGGGAAATGACGGGATCCTGGACCATGCCAACCCTACCCTCAGCCCAAGCGTTCTGAGGAAGGGCGAAGGAAGGGACTGGCCCAACTGAGACTGGGCATCAATTACTGAATCCCTGTCTCTCTGCTGAGGGATGAATGTGACGGATTTACACCTGGACTTCTTCTCAAATCTCAGGACAGTGCTGCAAAGCCCCTCTTACTAGCTTCACTGATGGACCTCAGAGTTCTCTAACTCTTCTCTATGGGGAGTCTGGGGCTTCAGCCCCAAACCACTCCTACCTCCTTGAACTCATCCAGAATGCATATTAAGTGAATAAAGGAAGTAATGACCATCTGCACTATAAATCCCCTGAGGAGAATTATCTAACAACAGCTAATCTGTCAAGCTATGCAACTCCACTCTGCTCCATCAGTTCATATAAGCATCATATCCAGTGACCCCATTTAATTACTGGTCTTCTTATTATTTCTCCAAGCCCTTCCCTCAGGACTCCAAAAACACTAAGCCTGGGGATTTACAGGAATCAGAGACTGGATTAAAACACACAACTGTACATTAAACTGAAACGACATGAGCATGCGGGGCTGGGTTTAGAATCATCCAGTCTGGATGCTAGAAGCTTCTCCCTCCCCACTTTCTTCACATGTTAACAGTATGGCCATTTAAAATAGATGGTATAACTTAACACATACTGCTGGGGAAAGCTGTATGGTTAAGCATAAGCCATAAAAGTGGAACAAAAGAAAGTATCAAGCAGCAAAGATAGGGGTATTCTGAGACCCACATCACACTATTATACAGAGGAGATCCGCTGATAGTGACAGTATTAGTTTATCATCAATAGTTTAATTCCTTTCCCCTGACCATAGTCAATATCTTCTGTTTAAACTTATATGTACAAAAAAGTATCATCTCTCTTCCTTCCTCACCAACTTATTATTCTGCAGAAATCCAGCAGGAGAAACAATAGCTTCCGCAACAGCCAATCAATCAGGAGATCCTGCTATTCTAAGAGCATAACAAAAAAGTGCTTTTGGACATTAGGGAAACGACCGTGGATTGGCTGTTGTAGAAGTCACATGATTTTTAATGCTGTATATTTCACTCCCCAGATTCCTGCTGGCACCTATGTAAACCTTAACTCTCTTTGTGAGTGTCTAGGCACTGACTGCGAAATGTACCAGATGCCCTGATACAGCAGGTCTTTTTTCCATCTCTAGTTTCGAGGATTCTTTGCCCATTTTTTATCTCAAGCAGGCTTCCTGTAATTCCCCCTACTAAGAGAAAGGTTTGTGTAATTAGCTTCCTTTAAATGGATAGTTGTACTTCTCAACAAACGGAAATAAATCAGCTTTTTAGAAGGCCATTAAAACATTTGTTTATTCAGCTCTAAAGACTGCACAAAGTTTTTGGTAAACAATCCTTGATCTCTTCTCTGGGGCAAGGAAACATGTCTTATCTACTTTCATAAAGCAACATGAACATGCACTCTAAGTATTTTGTAATATAGTTATATCTATGGTTCTATACACATATTTAATTTCATATGCTATCTGATAAAATGCCTTTCACACAAGATGTTCATAAAGCCAATTCCCTTCTAGGATACAGACATCTAAAATGGAAGCATATGGAGGGTGGGGAGGAATGGTTGCTTTAGACCTTCCTACTAAAAAGGAAAGCTCTGTTAAGCGCTCTAGAATCCTGAGTTGGAAACTGAACAAAGAAGCTGTGAGGCCTCACATACAATTCAGAAACCTACATACAAACCTAACTGAATAAATACTTCAGACTGGGGCTATTTTTAAAAAAGGGACTATTAACTCTGTAAGAGTTGGTTCCTCAGATCAGCAGAACTCAGATTTCTAACACACCAATTCCTTTTTCATTTGGCCTGAAAACCCAAGAAAACAGTGACTAAGAATTGGTGGTCTTTGGAAGTCTAAAAGTGCTTACCTTGGCTGTACAGCACGCCTGGCAGCTGCAGAGGCTGACTCTGAACGAAGCTTGTTTCAGTTCCTTCACAGACTTCTTGTTTTTAATCTACTGAAATGTGACACTGACCTGGCTTTTTTGTTTGGGTTTTCTAAGACAAGTGAACAAAACAATGGAATGTAACCCACATAAGTGTTCCTGACAAACGCTCAGAAGACTGCTGCACCAAGAGGGAGAAAAAAAACCCTAATCCATGCCCTGCAGAAATCATATGCACTGATGTGTCCACGCCCATCCTGTTAGCCCCAAACCATGGTCCTGTTTCCAAGATCAGCTGATTGTGACCTTCCGGTTCTAAACTACTTCTTCCGTTTCCTTGCTGTGAAGTTGGATGTACCCACTACATTTAAGTAGGAGTCTGCTGTACTGTGGAGAGCTACATGCTGTGGAGTTTAGTATTGTTCTGTTGAAGAGAGTAAGCTCAGCAAGAATGTGAAACTTAAGATAGTTTTGTTTTCAGCTGGATAGCTTTCTGTGGAGAGCAGAATGATTCTGTGAGACCACCACTAAACCCAACAGGCCACCAGACCCCAATCACGATCACCCTGCACCCAGTAGTCACTACGTCCTTGAATAATACTAAATCCCAGCCCTCTGGCCTGACACTGAATCCGACCAACCCAGCACCCTGCTAGACAAAGGAAGCTGTGTCTATGCATGCTGAAAGGCACAGAAAGAAGAGAGGGGGTTAAATTTAAAACGATCTGTGTTCCTTACCCACACACCCGCCCTGAATAGAAAGAAAGTATTAACCCAGCTACCTATGCATCTTTCTATACCCTTAAAACTACCCACGGACATTGCAAAAAACATTCAGTTAGTTCATCAGGATTTCTGAGCTGTAATCCTCTTCTCATGTCAAACAAGTCACAAAACAATCATCTCTCACCTTTATACAGTTTCTAACAGTTTATACCCTAAATTCGGTAAATGTGGTGAACACCCCTCAGCAGAAAAAATACATTTTACTATAACATAGCAACAAATTATTTCCCTTCCACACAGTAGGTATATGTATTTCACCTGCAGCTGTTGCTGTTGGCCAAAATAAGCCTCTAAAACACTCCAGGAGAATAACTTCTCAGATCCCCAGTGTCTGGCTGGCTCGCAGTCTGTCTACTAGATCTGATCGAGCTGCTCTTTGCTTTAAGAAAGCAGCACGATGCAGCTGGTCCTCCTGTCCAGCTCATGTTTCAGCCATTCAGACTCCAGGGTGGGAATTGTTAAGGAAGTCTCAATATCATCAAAAGCATCTGCATTCCCACAAAGCCCCGGCTCTCTTCTTCCCCTTTAAGAGGAGGAGACAAGGCAGAAAAAACTGAAAGGAAACTAAAAAGGAGGGGGATAAGATTGCATGACAACATAGTCTCTCAGTTCCCCAGATGGCTTCCCAGCAGTGCATTTACAAAACAGGAGACTCATATCAGGGGCTTGGGAGATGATAGTATCCAGGCCTCCGTTAACAAATCACCAACTGAAAACATATTAAGACAGTTTAGGGTGAATACCAGGGAAAGTTTCTGACAGTCATGTCTGTTGATCATGGAACAGTCTCCCAAACAACCATATTACTTGGGAAATTTAAAAATTATACTGGACAAAGCACCAGTTCACTACAGAGCAATTCTCCAGACCAGGGATAACATTTGATACCAGTTGGATAGCAGAGAGCATGTACGTAAAATGATCCAGTTTGGATTTTCTGTTGCTGATTCTTGACATGTTACCAGAAATGCTGATGTACATGTTCCCAGCCAAAGAGTACATACAGTTTTATAAAACCCTTCAGAACATTCAAATAGATTGCTCAATAGTCCCAGTTACACACATTTCAACGGAAGGTGTCTTGTGTAATGGAAGAGACACTGTAGCAAAAACTATCCATCTGAAAACACAGTTTGAACGCGACATTGAACTCTACATCATCTTAGGCTAGCTGAAAAATGTAGGGGAAATTGCAGGCAAAACTTTTGCCACCCCACCCCACTGTTCCCTCTCTCCCCCGTTGAAATTTGAACCTTTTTGAAATTTTCTGATCAATGCTACATGAAATCAAATTTCTTTTGTATAATTAGACCTATGTCCATACAGCATTCAGGTATCAGAAAAAACAGAGGAGAAAGTATGACACATAACAGGCCATCTGGTCTAGGGATAGGATTTCACTCTTCACAGGCAGAAGAGCCAGGGTATGGAGTTGCACAGGTGGAGGATTTTTCATGGATTCTTTCTTGGGATATCCTGGTCTATGATTCAGGATCTCCCATCACAGAACATACTATTACTACTACACCACGTGCTGCCTTACTAAAATGGTACTGAGTAATGCTGCCTCACTTGTCCACAAGCAGCACTATAGAACTATCCCTGTGCTACCCATCCACCTCAGTAGGAAACATTGATTTGCAAAAGTGGTGAGCACCAAACAGATCCCTAAACGTGAATTTAGAGACCTAACTTTAGGCTTCTATTTTTTAAAGTCTTGGCCTGTGAGATTAAGCTTCCCCCCTAGAAGAGATAGTTTTCACCCTGTTATTTGCCACATACAATATCAGATGTCACTATAAACAAGTGCCACCTCCTAAGGTTCACTGGGTTCTCTCTAAAGCTGTATCTTTACTTGGTTTTTGCCACTCATACTATGACAGCCACCATTACACAAAAAATAGTATTGCAAAACAAATTAGATAAGAACTGTGGAAGCAAATAAAGGACAGCAGTAAGGAACTGCCCTCTATTTAAACTCTACTCATCTTGTCACACTGTTTATCCAAACTCACTCTTTGGCCAAGGTTTCCCTGTGTAAATTATGCTATCTGTATATCAACAATGCCACAGTATCAACAGAGAAGGAAGTGGGTGGAATCGCTCCTGGATACTATAAATCCAGGATACTAGGCACACAGAGGCCTTGGCCAGGAAATGTTCCCAGATAGATTTGCGCTTACTGCCTCAAATTCCTTCTTCTACCTATATGATAAATATCTACCTCTTTCATTCAGAGCTCTCTGCTTTACCTCATCTAATTAAATGAAAGCTTATCCCTTTTAGTAATCACAGCAAGAGACATACTAATAAATTAATCAGTTCAAGCTATAAGCCACATAATGTCTCCAGGAAAGTTATAAAGAAAGGTCCATGCCAGAAACCAAGTGTTCCCTGTTCTCCTGTAATAATATTTTCATGATTTTTAAAATTCACTGAAAAATAGCATATTTAAATAAAATTCACTGAAAAATAGCATTAACTTTACTGCAGTGATATCCTCAAACAAACCAGTACTGTGCCAGTGCATGAGAACCAGTTACTGAAAATGACTGTCTTAGTTTCAATGATGTGCAGCATCAGTGGTGAAAAAACAAATGATACACGTAAAATTTCAGCTTTAAAGAAACTAGATGTGGCATACAGCTCTTCCACTCAGGACTGATTTAATGCTTTGATGAAGGAAAATCATGAGAAGACAACAAACCCTTGAAAACAATATTTAAGCCTTTGTTAGTGACAAATATTAATCATACATCCTGTATGAAAGTTTTAAAAATATACTTGAGGAAGAGAGAAGAAATTGCTTCTATCCAGTTTCATTCTTTGATATTCCAACTCTATTTTTTTGTTGATCAAGATGAATCAATATTGATATATTATATATAGTTACATACTAAAAGAATTCAAGTAGGAATAATTATTGAGGCACAAGTTATTGCTTATTTTCTAATTTATTTCTGATTGTGCATGAATCTACACACTTTGCTAAACAGAATTAAAAACCAAGCTCTTTCACAAGGGACCAAATCTACCTGTCTGTTTTCACCGAACCTAGCACAAATAATAAGCGTTTTGCCAGTTATCACCCAAAACACTTCACTTCAGGAGAAGATTTAAGTCTTTAGGTACAAGAATTAAAACAACCAGATGTAGTATTCAAAATGTGACACCCTAGCAAACGCTAGGATTTTAGGAAGGTATTTATTTTTTACCTTGATCAATGGATTCATCTTATACAAAGCAAAAAAACTAATAATGTTAAGTCATCAGATGAATCTTCCTCAGTGGAAACCCATATATTGAAGGAGGATAAAAATAATTGTATTTAAAGTAACTATTGTAATACTTGAAATTAGACAATTGTTTGAATCTATTTTTATTATTTATATCATGACTATCACAATATTGTGACTAGAATTGGGTGTCAACACATACTGGTGTCAGTGTTTAGCATTAAGCTACATATTTATTCTCCTGTATGTTTATATCTATAGTCAGGACCACAAAGCATTTAAACATATGGTGTTGTATTTGTGATAAAAATAATTGGGACTTGCTTTTGTGCCAGTAATATATATATATATTTTTAATTGAAAAACATATACGTCCAGTATTTTAAATAGGAGTTTTATTCTTCATGGTGCCCCTTTTATGAGCTGCTTTTGTTAGTCCTTGGACCACACTACAAAGAGGAACTATTTTTAGATACTTGGGAGGGGCAGACATATGGTGATGGGGGCCATATATGTACAGAGAGATTAGATTTTACCCCTACACTCACTGGCCCTGGACAGCTGACCCTGTGTCAAAATAGCGTATGGGTCACCTCGGAGACCACAGACACCACAATAAGTTGACCTAGAATAGGGAGAGACTCCCTGAATATATTATGTCTCTAGCTTCCTTTCCTGCAGAAGTGAATCTCTTTCTATATGGAATTGTCAGGTCGAAGAACACAACGTAAGATAGTCTGACTTATGTCTCTTCAAACACACACACACAACCCAGGACCTGTGGAATCAGGAAATTGCAGCAGAAAACCAACACTGTTCATAAGTTAGGGGTATGCACAGCAGCTTCTTCCCCAGTCCAGTACTGCAGCGTTTCAGATGCCTCTCATATCCATGTTTTCTCTCTCTATAAGCTGTCTGCAGGTTCATCCCCTGGTCTTATAAACAAGGAGATAA